GTGGGGGGGGTTCTCCTGAAGTCCACGATCATCTCCACTGTTTTGAGCGTGTTTAGCTCCAGGTTGTTAAGACTGCACCAGCCAGCCAGCTGCTAAACCTCGCTTCTATATGCAGACTTGTCTCCGTCCCAGATGAGGCCGATGACTGTAGTGTCTGCAAACTTCAGGAGTTTGATAGAGGGGTCAGTAGAGGTGCAGTCATTGGTGTAGAGGGATAAGAGCAGTGGGGAGAGCACACACCCCTGAGGGGCGCCAGTGCTGATAGAGCGGCTGTTTGACATGAATTTCCCCAGTCTCACTAGCTGTTGCCTGTTTGTCAGAAAGTTGGTGATCCACTGACAGATAGAGGTAGGAACAGAGAGCTGGGTTCGTTTGGTCTGGAGGAGTGCTGGGATGATTGTATTGAAAGCCGAACTGAAGTCCACAAACAGGATCCTCATGTAAGTCCCTGCAATTTGTCAAAATTTTGTAGGATATAATGCAGTCCCATGTTGACTGCATCATCCACAGACCTGTTTGCTCTGTTAGCAAACAGCAGGGGGTCCAGTAAGGTTCCCGTGATGTCCTTCAGATAAGCCAACACCAGTCTCTCAAACAACTTCATGACTACAGATGTTAGTGCAACAGGTCTGTAATCATTGGCCATGTACACACTGCAAGTTTCAGGAGTGACACACCACATTTAAATGCTGGAGTGAGTCCCGTAAATCATTGTTCCATGTATGAAACACTTGATGCCTGACAATACACGCACTTTGACGTGCTTCTCGTGACATCATAATTAACAACTAGTTGCTCAGTTCAGTCCCGTACACTGCATTGAATTTCTGTAAATGCGGTTGTCACTACCTGCATTTTTCGGGAGTTAATGCGGTTGTCGAATGCGGTTGTCACTCCCGAATTTTAGTCAATTATGTGTGTACAGAATGTGATTAAGGAGTAAAAGGTAAGCTGACAACCAAATGTAGCTGCAGTGTGGATGTGACCATTAAGTCCTGTGATTTGGGGTTTCTTTGGGATGGGGATGATGGTGGAGCGTTTGAAGCAGGCAGGGACTTCACACAACACCAGTAATCTGCTGAAGATCTGTGAAAAGATGGAGGCCAGCTAGTCAGCACAGATTTTCAGACAGGCTGGAGAAACACAATCTGGACCTGGTGCTTTCCTTCTCTTCTGTTTCCTGAAGACCTGACGCACATCATCTTCACTGATCTGAAGTGCAGGAGGGGGGGCGAGGGGGGTTGCTGGAGCTGTTGATGGCTGTGTAAAGAGATGGTCAGAGTGGGTGTGGGGTGTGAGACCGGGAGCTTCACACCTGCAGTAAAACTCATTCAAGTCTTCAGCAAGTTGTTGATTTGCCTCAATGCTAGGGGATGGTGTCTTGTAGTTTGTGATGTCTTTCAGGCCTTTCCACATTGAAGCAGGGTCGTTTGCTGCAGCTGTTTAGAGTAGCTCTTCTTAGCCACTCTGATCTCCTTTGTCAGTGTGCTCCTGGCCTGATTGTACAAGATTCTGTCCCCACTCCTGTAGGCATCCTCTTTGGCCTGTTGGAGATGTCTGAGTTTTGCTGTGAACCATGGCTTATCATTGTTGTATGTTAAATAAGTCCTGGTAGGAATGCATATTGGCCGTCACTGTCAGGAAAGCTGTCTGAGTCATAATCCGACAGAAAAGTGATCGAGATGGCGCCGGTGATGATGGTGGCCTCTGTGCCGTGCTCAGCAGTTGTTTTTGTTAGTTTGTCCTGTCTTTAGTTATATCCCTGCAATCAGTTTCACCAGAGACGAATTGCTGGACATTCGGCACAACACATCACCCGATATATTACCGGTTTTCGACTATTCTGATGTTTTGCTGGACATAGTAGTTGGCGGAGCAGCTGCGCTGATCAAGCGCTTCAGGACGCGCAGACGGGGAAGTGAGCTGGCGCCCTCGTGAAGCACAGGCAGCGCGGATTTCGAACGTCGTTGCCTAGCATCCATCTGGCGAACCTCCACTCTCTACCCAACAAGACCTTAATCTGCCGGGCTTTCAGCTTTTCAGAGCGGACCGCGATGCAGAATCAACGAGGAAATCGTGCGGCGGCGGGACATGCTTTTACATCAACGAAAGGTGGTGTACAGATGTAATCGTGTTAAAGAAGATGTGCTGTTCAGATCTAAAAACGCTTTTCATTAACTGTAAGCCTTTCTACTCGCCGTGGGAGTCTTGCTCGTTCATTCTCGTGTGTTTACATTCCTCCGCAAGCGCAGGTGAGCTCAGCTTTACAGAAACTCACTGATCAGATCACAGAGACAGAACAACAACACCCGGACTCTGTTTTAAGCTCAAAACAGTGGAGATGATCGTGGACTTCAGCAGAAACCCCCCTGCTCTCTCCCCACTCACCATCATGGACAGCACAGTGACTGCAGAGTCATTCAGGTTCCTGGGCACCACAATCTCTCAGGACCTAAAGTGGGACACTCACATTGACTCCATTGTGAAATCTGAATTATTTATAAGCCTTTTGAATTACAGGGACACTGAAAATGTCCTCATAAATCACCTTCTCGTTGTAATACCTATGTCATACCCATGTTATACAAATTTGTGTCCTCATAAACCACATAAACATGCACACACACACACACACACACACACACACACACTTTCTGAACTGCTCAGCTAATTGTAAGGAGAGGTGCTGCTGTCTCCAGACATTATGAGAGTAAATCAGAGCACTATAAAGATGAGGTATTTCTGAACCAAATAAGCTCCAACAAGCTTCACATTCAACTGATGCAATGCAGTGCAATGCGATGGAGAGGAGCTCTTTCTCTGACATGTTCACGTCAAAATGGTCATCAACCAGGAAAGTAAAGACATCAAGCTTCTCTTCAGATTTTTTAAACAATCTCTCAAAAGAAAAAAAATCAAACTTTTGTGTTATCTCCGAAAGAACAAAAACACTTTTCTACCTCAGTATTTTTGTCTCGTTTTCCAATACAAATATGTCCATGATGACACATTTACTTGAGATGCAAAATGACATAAGCAGTCTTGATTTCTGTGAAACTGATCAAAATAAAGTGAGTTTATTCTTAAAACAAGAATAAATATCTGCCAGTGAGGTGGAAATGGAAACAAACAAATTTTTCTGACCCAACTGGCATATATTTGTGACCCTGGACCACAACACCAGTCTTAAGTCGCTTGGGTATATTTTTAGCAATAGTATTTTAAACTTTAAATATTTGATGCAAAGATGAAAGAG